TAAGTTTACCTGTAAATTGGCTGTAATATATTACTTACATTTATTAAAATGTCACGAAATTGTGGTATATACTATATGCAATTGTAAAACTACAGGAGTACCTACATGCTACATTTCGTGTAACACAAAATCGTTTGGAAAGTTGGGGGGTGGTTCTAGGTAAAATTTTAAAGATTGAGGATAGAATTTGTCAATCACATTTTTCAGAAGAATTTGTTAAAAAAGAAGATATTATAGATATAAAACCTGATAGAACAGCAAAAGTAAGCAAAAATGTACATATAAGTTATAAGTATTGTTGTGTATAGTTAGCTATACAAATATTTTTTTAGTAAACAATATTTTGTATTTCTTACATACCTAATAATTTAACAATATTCAACAAAACATTTTTAGGACAATTTTTTATTGGATACATCATACATTAACACACTTTTAGTTAATTTCACTTACATTTAGCGTGTGAGAGAGTAATAAATAATTATAATACACATTACTACTAGAGCGCGCTACCAGAGCGGGACCAGACAATAAGAGCACTGCTGATTTGTGTATATTTGATATTTTGATTATGAGTTGCATAGGCCTGTTACACGATGTAGGTAAAATCTTAAAATTTGTAAATTTTTTAAATTTTTTTTGTAAAATTTTATCTACATCGTGGCCTGTTACAATGACTAAACAAGAAAAAGAGGGAAAAACAATTTGTTATCACCGAAATGTCTAAGCATCTTAACACTATACACGTAATGCTATCATATTATTATGCATGACGCACACGTGACACGTATTAGATCGGCACTCAGTATTTAGTAGTAAATAAATAAATTAATAGAGAGAATATAATACGAAGGACGAAGGGTTACAGTGGTAAAAGATGCAGTCCAGTTGTGGAAAACTCCAAACTGTAATCCAACGTTGATACGTTTTTATAAAATTTTAATTTTATTCAGTTCAATATTATTTTTTGATAATTATTTGTTTTAAATTTGAAATCAGATTTGTCATCAAACAGTCAATGTGTGAAGCCGCACACAGTCTTTGAGCGCAGTAAACACAAACGACAAATTGTTCGATCACGATACAAAAAAAACACGCTTATATACTATTTTCATCGTTGATGCTTTATTAAAGCATAATATTTTAGGCTATGCTCGAATTAAAACGACGAGTGTGATGCACTGATGCGTCGATGTCACTGTTATGTGCGTATATGTATATATTGTACAACAACAATTAAGCTATCGATGTAGACGATATGTTATCGGAGATAGCCTATATAAAATGTACGTGCATAACATCATTATGTGTTCCGCCGTCGAGCATTAATAAAGCAGTCGTACTTTGTCAAAGCGTGTGATATGTGCCCTCGGTCCCCGCAGCCGTAATACGTAACAGTCAACTCAAGCGGTCGCTAAGTGGTCCGGCTTAGTCGCGCAGATCTGAGCAATGATGTAGTGGCCGCGAACAGCGACGCTTGTTCTATCGGAGCACGTTCGGAGTACCGATTCTCGCACATTTATTTCAATGATATCGTACCGCCCATTAACACCATGAGCAACGGCGCTATATCGTTTGAAATAATTTTTACGTTTGCCACAACCCGCCGGGGCCACGTATTGCGGCCACCAGTTATGGTATGGCGAAAGGTAATTTCTGACAAAACACAGTCGCTCAAATATTTAAAATTTGAAAATAAACTAAGAAGAAAAAACGATAACAGTATATTACTATATTAGGATAACGTTCAATCACTCAATAATATGGAAAGGTTGTTGTTTTACTTCATTAAAGTAGCCCTACTCATTACTCATACATACAGATCAGCCACAGGCGTACAACCGTGACAACCGAATGAAGGTAGGGCCGTTGTCGTATACAAAGCGATAGTCACTCGAACGGGCCAAACGACAACGTCAGTTCCATGGGAAGACCGCAAAAGGTAACAATATATATTCTCATAAGTTTATTTCCATGAATTTGTACAAACATTCATACAGGAGCAAGGACAAACAGTGAGATTACCAACTGCATGAGGATGAGAAGATAAACACAATTTAGAAGGTCAAAACACAATGCTTCAAATTTAATTCAAAACATTGAAATGAATAATATTACGATTTTTTTTGTGTCGTATCTGTGTCTATCGTTATAGAAGTTAAAATTTACTTAATAGTGATTTTTTTTCTGCCAAAATATAGCTTAACGATGCCGTAAGCAATCTGAAACAGATTTGAAGTTGATTCGGAAACACTTAAACCCTAAAATTCAATACAAAGTGTGGGGAATTGGTATCATTAGCATGATAATTATTTATATTATATTGTATTGCAGTTACGATCTTTTGATTATGTAACATCAGTAAAGTATTCATTGCGTAATGTTCATATATATATCTGTAGTTTTAATTAAGTTTGTCGCTAATCACGACCATTGCCTGGCACGTATTGTAAAGACGGTATTAATTATATTATTTATATTCTAGTCTGTTGTTCCGCGTCCACTGCCGTATATAGTCACAAAAATTGTGCGAGCGTTCCGCTCTTTATTATATATATTTATATTTATCCTATTTTCTAAATTGTATATGTGGCGCCTTTAATAAATATCATATTATACGAGGTAATATTACAGTGTTATATTTATTACATAACTTCAGAGTACTTGGGCAAACCCACAAAAGTAAAATTTATGTTCAAATATCGCTCAACAAGTGTCAAAATAAGACCTATATGAAAAATGAATGAACAAAGTCGGGTTTTTTTTGTATTAACGAATAGTTCGTCATTCGCATTAAAATATTATAAAGGTTTGGATGGTCAAAATTCAATCTTTCTGCTTTAAAAACGATGAAACAGAAACGTCACTTTTAAAACTATTTTCTATCGTTATACTAGTTAAAATTTACTTAATAGTGATTTTTTTCTGCCAAAATATAGCTTAACGATGCCGTAAGCCATCTGAAACACATTTGAAGTTGATTTGGAAACACTTAAACCCTAAAATTCAATACAAAGTAAATGTATGTTCAAATATCACTCTACAAATATATTTAATGTACTTAAACTTAATACGGTTTAATATTTAATGTACTTAAAATAATGTAAAATGTAAATTTATATATACATATAGATAGCTCTTCATACGAAGAATTCAATTATGTTTATATTATATTTATACCTCAATTAGAAATATTTTTATTTCGTTATTTATTTCTACTGAACAATTTCAAAAAGTGGAGATAGCCGGTTCTTGCACCGGACCCTTTAATTGTGAATCGTCTCCGATGAGCGACGACGATCAGATTTTGCCATAGATGATAGATATTATAATATAATATGTCGTTATCAGTTTTCGAGTTTTTGAATTCTTTGGATGACACGATACATTTTTTATTTCAGATTCCGAAACATAATATTATTTTTAGTGTTAAATCTATACAATATGAAATATGAAATACAATATTATATCATAACATTGAGCATTAGTGGTCATTTTATGATATTGTATTTTGTTTTTATTATGTTTTTTTGAGTAAATGTATTTAAATCTAACCGCAGATTCATGTTTAACTTGTTATATGTATATTATAATGGACAGTTTATGTGAAAACAAATAGCAGGGTACATCATTGACATTTGTTTGATCTATTTAGTAATCTATTCATATGGCCGTCGATGAACTTTTCTGTAACTATTTCACATTACATAGTTGCAGAATTATTCATACTTCATGAAACCGAGAAAAATTATGCTGATTTAAAATGTATGATATCTTAGTTATTTATTAACAAGATTATGAAATTAAAATGTACCAATATGTTATTGATATTGTAGAAAAAAAAGAAAATTATTAATTTCTTTTATTTTATTTATGTGAAGTGTGTTAATATGTATTTTAAAATTTTGATTTATCGAGTATTGTAGGTTTAGGTGCGGGGGGGTGTGGGTGGCTCTGCCCCCCACAACTCTGTGATACATTCACAGATTCAGCACCCTACGTTTTAGAGGTCTAGTTGCGCCATTGTTGACGTCCAACATTAAAAACAATAACAATATGTGTTATTAAACTAACAAGACTAGTTAGTTAACCGAATCTAATCACTAATAGCCATGAAATATTCTGGGAAATGTAAAATCATAATTTGCCTTCATACTATAGTGACTGCAGTCTATCTGTTATTTTTTATTTTTACAATATTGACGCATACACTGTTCGCAAGAACCAAAAGATATACAATAGTTATAGACATTATAATGTATTTGCTAATATATTATTGTACCGATATTGTGGGTGGAATTAATTTTATATTTATTATACTATATCATTATAGAGAGTCTGCATCTAGTATTTACTCTATAACCACATAATTTTGAAGACCATTTTATAGGTGTTCAGATTTTTTCTTAAATAAAATAGTTTCATACTTTACATTAAAAACAGTTTGGGTTTTGGTTGCTTTTCAAATAATCGTCGATTTCGATCTTGATTCTGATATCCGATACCTTGTTTTACCGCCCTGGTTATTAATCGGTTTCCATTCCTGCTATTTAAGTATTTTAAGTACAGTACTTAATTGTAAACAAAAATAAAATACTCTATAGTTTCAAACCATCAGTTGGTAATTAATTTTTTTTTATAATCGAAATATTTTCTATCTTTTTAATGATTAAGTTCTCAATAAACAGAAATCATCAACCAACGGAACTAAGTGATTTCAGATTTTGTGTTCTGTGTACTATGCCACAGTCCGAAGAAAACTTGTTTTCTGGGCATTTCCACGTGATACTATCACAGAGGAACGGCTTTGTCGATGACATAGTGTGAAATAGTGATGCGCAGAATCTTTGAGTTCTCTCGCCGGACGGAGTGTAAGTAAACTTATCACATTTTTACTAATTATTTACAGTTATCTTTTGTAATTTTCAGCTCAAAGGATTAGGATATGGTAATAACGGATAAAGTAATTTATATAGTTTTATGAATTAAATACAATCAAATTTTTAAAAAAAAAAAAAAACGGATATTCAATTTATTTTGCAATGTCAATACACATATTACAATGTACTGTTTGGGCTATGGCATGTTTGAGTTTGAGATAATGGACATGGTGAATTAACAGTTCTGAAACAAAACAATAAAAAGTTGATAAATATAATTTAATGTTATAGTGATAAACAATAATAATATACTTTTTACAGTTGTTATCGTTCGAGCAATTTAATAGTATGCATTATATATTTTCGAATTCGATTAGCTAACGTTATTATAATATTTTATTGAAATTGAAAATTTTTAATTGCATTCATAATGATATTATTTTTTTAAAACAGTTTGTATACCTAGGCTATTAGGTAAAAATTGTAGAAAAGCACATATTTTAAATTTATATTCTGTAGAATAAAATAATTTGTCTAAGTCACATAAAATAATAATAAAAAAAGTTGATAGTATAAAGCATTTATCGTTTTAAATAATACGTTCATGAATTAATGGAAATGATAACCATACATTAAACATAACAGTTTAAATTAAAAATCGATGTCAGATTGATTGAATTCAAACAACATCTGTAGCTGAATTTGCGGATGATAAGGCAATTATATCAGTACACAAAGACCCTCACATTGCTTCTTTAAACCTTCAAAACCACCTAGACCTAATGTCTGTCTGGTATGATAAATGGCGAGTTAAAGTTAACCAATCAAAATCCATTCATACTACATTCACTCTTCGTCTCCCTCCCTGCCCAGAAGTCTTTCTTAATAACATACCAATCCCTTCATCCCAATCGGTTAAGTACTTAGGCCTAATCTTTGACCGTCGCCTGACCTGGGGACCTCATATCAAAGCTAAAAAACTCGCCCTAAATGAACGACTACGCTCAGTTAAATCACTAATATCTAACAAGCACACTAAATTAAACACCAAACTCCTCATATATAAATCATTAATCAAGCCCATGTGGACTTATGGCCTACAATTATGGGGCAATGCAAAAGTAACTAATGTAAATAAAATCCAAACCGTTCAAAATAAAATTTTAAGATTAATCACTAAAGCCCCACCATATGTCTCCAACTACTCTCTGCACACAGATCTAAACATAAAAACTGTTCATGCTGAAGCCATAATATACTACAAAAGATTTCACAACAGACTTCCACATCATCCTAATCCCCTTATATCCAATTTAGCTTCTCGCACAATTCCAGGCAACCCAACACGTCGACTAAAAAGAAATTGGTGTCGTGACTTACTAAATGAATAATCCAAATAATTAAAAATTAATAAAAAAAAANGATTTCATGTACAAAATATTATATCACATATTCTTATTGTGCCTAACGGGTACAGATTGTATATATCTTATTAAAAATAAAAAAAAAAAAAAAAAAAAAGATTGATTGAATTAATAAAAAAAATCGTGAAAAAATTTTATGAGTATTTAGTATTGTTTAATTATTACAATAAAAAAAATTGTCTATATTTGTATGGTGCACTCGATATAAAAATGAATCGGCTGTAATTATTTAATTTATTTAATTCATCTACCTTGTCAAAAATTAAATAAATATACCAGCATTGGTAAGCATAGAAGAAGAAAATAAAATCGAAACCCAACTAATCTATTATCCAAAATTAAAAAAAATCTCATAATTATTAACTCACCATCAATTGGCTGGTGGCTGGGGTGGCTTTGGCGACCGATTTGATGGCCTTGGCAGATTGGACTTGTCCAACGACAACGATGTTCATGGTTACTTTTTCAGCGCCCATTTTTGATTTTTGGTTGGTTTTTGTTGAACAAAGTGAAAACTGTAAAAACAAATTTTACATTTAGTTAATATTTGGAAGCAAACGCAATATTGTTATTTCGTACTTACCAATGAATAAAATTGCACAAAAATGTGTTATGCTGGACTCAAGCACTGAGACGCCTTTTTATACACTCTCGATTGCCGCCGAAAGTGGGACGATAAGGTGGCGTGATCGTATTATAACAGTGCTCGCTTTTAGTGATTGGCTGATAATTCGGTTGCGATAAACGTGCGAGAGCGTATTTTGTACTAAAATATTACTATTAAACGTTTCTAGGCGAATACCTCGACTTATAACTTTTTTTTGGTAATCAAGGCTAACAAACAATTATTGTGTTAACGAAAGTATGTAGAAAATCGGGCATGCTCTGCTGTACATCATGGGTGTCTAGATTGTCACTGCAATGGGTGTGTTAAATTTGAATTCAATAAACAAATTGTACACGAAAAACGATTCTAAGCAAAGACGGCTAGCTTCATTCTATAATATTTTTATTTTTATTTTAATTAGGTTTCAATATACAAGTTACTATAACTAGACAATCACATAACACAGTATACAATAATATAGACTAAAAATTCAATGAGTAAATCGTATAATATAATTGTGTAATTTATTTTACTAAGCACTAGTGCTCCAGAAGGTTAAATTTATTTTTGCCAAAATGTCATTGTGCGTATGCTATACACAATATAATAACGTACTCTAAATGTCTCAAAAACCCACGAATAATATATTTTTATTACAACAAAATAACTAAAACCTTTACTCTTGGTTTTAATATGCATTGTCGTCCAAATTTGAACTTAAAATGTCTGTAAAAAAAAAAAAATGTGTTTATATATATTTTAGTTATTGTATTAAATATTATTTATAAGAATCTTTGTTTTAAATATTCAATTCATTGCTATAAAAATTGATTGTTTTATAACTACCCAATATTTTGATAATTTTCGAGATTTTGATAAATGTTGACAACATTATCTTAACTTAAAATACCTACTTATAAAAAAACCGTGCATGCAGATATTTATCAATTGCTGTATTAAAAACGTATGATGAACCTCGTACTATATTTTCAAGATTTTTGAACCAATTAATACAATTTTATCGACATTTATAGAATAAAAAACTAAAAAAAATGAAAATTGAAAATGTCTATAAAGAACTCAAAACGAGTCGAAATATTTTGAAAATTTTACTGTGTATAGAAAATGATAAAATTATCATTTGACTTAAATTTAAAGTACCTATGGTCAATAGTTTTTTGAATAACAACCAAATAAGAAAAATGGTTTTATAAGAATTTGTTAATTTACTGGTCAATATCCAATGTCAAACTCAAAAACACCCATAAAAATGAATTTGGCTTTCTTTTTAACATTTTTTTTATGTCAAACGTAAGAAAACTTATGAAGAATCTTATATGATTATTTCAAATCTCATATATACACAGACAATTTTCATGAATTTCTAATTCCAAACAATTTGCCAATTTTAGAGATTTTGATGAATTTTGTCAACATTTTTACTTCAGGCATTCATAAAAAATTATTATAAATTTATGTTAAACATTTTTTTAACAATTTCTAGTAACAGCAACTAACGAGGAACGTTGTTTTTTATTTTTAAGTTTTTTGACGGTGCAAAAAAATGTTTATACAGAATAGTTTACAAAAACCAAAAAAACTCTAATTTTTTTTATGCCTATAAATAGCTCAAAAAGAATCGCAATATTTCGAAAATGTTATGGTGCATAGGAATTGCGAATACAAACATTAAGTGAACATTTTATGTATGTTAAAATTATTTTTATAATAGGAGAAACAATAAAGACCAAAATCGTTTTTGTCAAAAACTGTTTTTGCTTAAAAACCTCAATTTCTCCTTAATTTTTTTTAACGTTTTCACAGCGCTTATGAAAAAAGAGAATTTTAAATGCTAACCTCCCAAATTCATACCTATTGCTAACTAGAATCACTTTTCCACTGGAAAATATATTGAAGTTAACTAACTTTCAACATTATTTCGACTACTTATCGTGTGAAATGTACCCGGACCACAAAAAAAATTTATTTAAGACACTCACATCATTGTAAAATTAATAAATTTATCACTAAGAAGAATCTAAATATATATTGAAATTTTGAATCGCATAAAGATGTGTAAAATACCTAACGAAAAATAACAAAATATATAAATCGAAATTGAGCAACAATAAAGAAAGAATACAATTATAAAATCAATACTTTTAAAAAAAAATTAAATCAGAAATATCAAACATCGATAAGCGAAATTGAAATCTAATAGTAAATTATTAAATAATACAATACAACATTTGAATATATGTAAAACTTTAGCAAGAGAATAAATTAGTAATTTTACCACTATTTTTTCCACGTCAAATGATCACTGATTATTCTTTAATCATATTATTATTTTATTCTACTTTTGTAATTTTATACAGGGTTATTTACCAACTATGTTCTATGATTTTTGAATTTTAGAGGACTGTACCTGACTTTATTTAAAGATACCATTTTCAAAAACGTAAATATTTGTACTATCTCAGCCGTAAACTGTGCTCATGTATAAACTTCTTTTATTTACGAACCAAAATTTTGTACTTTACAAGATTAAGAACAATATAAAATATAATGAAGTGCATACTATAAACACTAATGGCCAAGTTGTAAAATCAAAAATATACCGTACGAAAATAAATTAACGACAATTTGATAACCATGCCATTTTGAACGTGTGTTTATTACAGTGTATTTCAATTGTATTATAATTAATTATTTTGTGAGGTAATCCTGGTGATAATTTACAATATGATGTGGAACCACATTAAACATTTTAAAATTTTAATTTAACGGAATGCGAACTCCGTAAGCTATATGCTGCAGGTTAGATATTTATTTAATGTTTTGTAAATAAACAATTATCATAATATTACAATGATCACGCCATGGCCGGCGCCCCACTTTTATACGATCGGCGGGAGTGTATATAAAGGTGTCTGAGATCTAGAATCCGGCATAACACATCCTTTTGTGCAGATCTATTCTTTGGTAAGTACGAAACGATATTAATTGTTATTTTATTTTGATTTTGAATTAATAATGATTTTTTTTTTCCATTTACAGTTTTCACTTTAATCCTCAAAACCAACCACCAAAAACCAAAAATGGGCGCAGAAAAAGTATCCATGAACATCGTCGTTGTCGGACAAGTCCAATCTGCCAAGGCCATCAAATCGGTCGCCAAAGCCACCCCAGCCACCAGCCAATTGATGGTGAGTTAAATAAATTTAAGACTTCATTAAATTTTAAAACCGAAACATTTATATAAAATAATATAATCACAACAATTATTCATACCAACTATACAAATATAATATGTTTTGCTTGAATCTGACGAATGGCTTACGTTGTTTTACGTTTATTATTAATTTTAATTTAATTGATTTAATTTTCAAAGAAAACCGTAATATAACGTTTTGAAAAACAATTTTTCCACCTAAAAATCTCTTCCCAATACCAAACAATTTAACTTGCAATAACATACAACGTTTAAGTATTTAAATTCAATGGTTAAACTAATAAACTTAATATAAATTATGTGATTCCAGATTATAATTAAGATGTAACTTACATTATTTTGCTTAAAAAATATTAAACTAACAATGGTAAACGATGTCAATAATATTATTATGAACGGTTTCATGTTAACTTGTCATAATACTAATGGCAATTTTTGTACACATTTTTCCTTTTATTAAATTAGCATAGTATTATGTTTACCCAACATGATTTTAATCGTTTATACTCTTCAAAAATATTATTTTATAGGTTAGACTAGTTAATGTTTTATAAAAATATATAGATTAATATAAACGTTTTTTTTGTTGTTGTTGTTGTTGTTGCATTTAAAAACATAATAATAGTTGTTTAATTAATACGAAATCTTCTTTATAGGTAGTAAAAAAATATGCTCTCATAATCTTTTTTACTGTATTATGATTTATGATATTAGAATTCATGGTATATTATTTTTATCAATCAAATATACATTTTGATTTACTTTTTTTGTTTTTGTTTCAGAACTGTTAATTATGTAGTCGATACATTGCAAAACTCAAAACTGCCATAGCCCAAACAGTACAATAATATGTAATTCATATCTGTATTGACACTGCAAAATAAATCAGACACTTCCGAAAAACATAACTATTTGGTGTATTTTTTTTTAAACTTTACCTTATCCACTGTCCATAATACAGATTCACGATTTTTTTATCATTATTGGCGATATCACGAATAACACCATTCATTTTAAATACTTTTTATAGTTTTATATCATGGTAATATGATTATAGTACTTGCATAACAAGTACCAATGATAACATACTGCTGGATAAAATTATATTTTAATAATTTAATACTATCATAGGTATATTATCATAATAATATAATATAAATAGTCTTTAAAAAAGGGTTCATGGATTAATTACAGATAAATAGTAATTTTAGATATTTAAAAGTGTGTTCAACCAAGTTGTGAACATTTAATAGTAAGTAGTTCAATTATATGTTATCTGTTGGTTGATAGTAGAATAATCAGACATTAACTAACAAACTATTAGTAATAATCGTTCACTGGCCCTGATGAACACTTTTTGAATACTTCTATTTATAACAATATAACAGTACAATAGAGTGGTAGAATGTTATTGACTTTTAAGTCGATATACCGGCTTACCATTGAATTATGTGAATAGGTTGGGTCTAAAGTATACCATTCTATACAATTAATAAAAATGTTTTGAAAATGTCTTTATATGTAGAAAATATAATAATGTACTTGAAAGTTTCAAATCCTCACAAAAAATACTTTTAAATTATAACAAAGTAACAAAAATCGTTTTTTTCGTTTAAATATGAAATTAGAACTTAAATATCCATAAAAGAAAAATTGTGTTTATGTATATTTTTATATTTTTTGGTTCCATTCTGTTATATTTGTGAGGAATAAACTATATTTCAAGCCGAAGCTTTTACAATTGAAAATGTTTACAGTTTTCACAATAAAATAACTTAAATATAGTTTCCAAACTTTTTGACTGTGCGAAAATTTTTATCACGATATTTATGGGAATAAATCGAAAATGTTTATATTAAATAGCTTCAAAAAGAGTCAAAATGTTTTGAAAACTTTAATATGTATAAAAAAACTGATGTAAACATTTGATGAATATTTCAAGTATTTACGATCATTCATTTTTTAAATATTACAACAAAATAAGAACATACATTTTTTCAAAAACCATTTTTGCATAAAAATGTTATGTTTATCTATATTTTTTTTTTTTTTTTAAGTACTCGGAACTTTTTATTTTTGATCTCTTAAATTTCCATTTATAGATGCGCTTTTCTGCCATAAAAGATATTTTAAGTTTGGAGAACAAAAAATTAAGCTTGATCATTTTAAAATCAATACAATTAATCATAAGCTCAAAATCTAATACCTCAATAAAGATTTTTATATTTTTTTTGATTTTTGGAAAACACTTTTTTAACGATTTCGTTTTAACAACTTGTTCATTACACTTAAATTATTCAAATTATACATTCGCTTAACAGTTATAATAACAATGAGTGTTTTATTCACAGTTTATCTTAATTCTTTAACCTTATCGTTTATTTAAGTGGGTACCTATAGTTTATCTACGTAACGAAATTGTTTGTTTTTTTTTATTGTCCTAAATTCTATTATAAACGGCTAAAGCTTATCGGTAAAATGTAATACGTAGCTTAACTTAAAATTAAAGATTATGAACAAAAACGATCGTACACATAAACCTATGGAATTTAAACAATTCTTAAACATTTTTTCATAAGTCACACCATTGGTTATAAATAGTACTAAAATCAATAAGCACTGCGTATTATTTTACTGATGGGCAAGGTTAAATCAGTTAATTAAATTAGTTGAAATACATTAAAACTTTCGTCCTTTGAAGGTGATCACTGATTATAATATTAGGTATGCAGTAGCACGTCGTAATCTCTGTTTTGTTTGCAAACAAAAATAAAAAACAAATTTTTTATTATAATAATACGATCACGCCACATTGTGCCGCTCCACTTATATTGAATTTAATATTAATGATACTTTGTACGAAAAAGTTTCGTTTAAGGCTTCGTCTCAGGCTATAAACATAATTATTATTCGAGCACAGTGCAAATATATTTCACTTAACTAAGCCCCCCTACTTATTTGTAATAGCAATCGCTAGTGAATCGATGACATTCGGAAACTTCGTCTCAGCACGTCACTTTTTTTTTCGTTCAAATCTATTTTTTGGCAAACAAAACGGGAATTCGAGATAAATACAAAATTTTGTTGGGGGAACAAAGTCTGCATTTGCCCCCGGCTGATTTGCAAGAGCAGTCCAAGTTTTCGGACGATTGTTGCAGGCGAAATGACAATTGATTTTCCTAATTTTGAGGAAATATAATATTATTGCGTAAGCACTAGAAAACTATTGTCCCGACAATAATTAATATTTTTAGTTTTAAATATATAGACGTGGAAATACTGAAAACGAAACGATCACACTTCAATTCATCCATGATCTCGAATACAACCCTATAATACCTATATGGACTTAATTAAAATTACTCGATTTTTCGATATCGTTTTAGCAGTCATGTTTATGTTTTCATATTAAAATGTGCAGTTTGACCTCTCTAGAAAAATATAAAATGACGCAATTCACTAGGTATAGAAATCATAATTATTATTTAGCTCTCCTTTGCGTTTATTTTGCTGTACAATGAAGCTATTTTTTCCTCAGAAACGTATAAATAGTTAATGTAAGATGGAAAAAAAGACCGTACAAATATAAATGCAAATTGACTGGGTAGCGAAATTATGTTTTTTTTTTTTATACTGATTAATATAATAGTTTATTGTAAAGAATTAAATTTGACTTGATCGATTACAAATTGTTCTGTCCAGAACTATTATACAGTGTTACTGCTTAACTATACATTTTATACACACCACACTATTAATTGTCAGTACTCTAAGTACTCCTACATAGATCCTTTAGTGCCTTAGTTTGTACTTCTCGATAAAGATAATAAATATTATCATAAACCAATTTGCAACTCCTGATTATTCACGAGACTATAATAATTGACTCTGGAACCACGTCTCGTGTGTTTGGGTAGATAGCAATAATCACGCTCTCACCTAGTTAATGTCAGCTGTAAGACCAGACAAAACTGCGTGCGCACTGAAAAACGATTTATTGAAGTATTCTCATTTCCGAAAATTATAACTGTTCTTGTTTAGGACGTCAAAATCATTATTTAACAGTCCCAAAGACTTCCACCATATATATTTATTTAGTAAGTATACAATTTAGGTAGTACATTTGTGAAGTAGAGAAAATAAAATGAAAGACAGGATGTGGCAAAACAAACAGTGTTGTTTTGAAAGACTGGTACTTCTGTGTGTCGGTGGTGAGGAACCAGGGAAGGGTCTCGCTGTGTCGGACGAGTATAAAAAACTTCAGGAATAGTAAAATAATGAATTCTAAATAAAACACTATTTATTTGCTGAATATATTGAAAATGAGTCTTCTCGGTAAACGGTTTGGAGCAGAACTATAATTTATTGTAATGGTAAATATAGCAATATGAAAATTATTTTAAATATGTGAATTATACGGCAAACGTTTGTGATATTTGTACATTAAACTTTGTTTTAAATATTTTTTATACATTGTATAACAATCAGTTATTTCCAAATACTTGAATCGCGTCATTCATAATATCAAATATGAATAGAATTCGATTAATCAGTTAATATATTATAATATGTATCCTTAAAATGTTAGTGAACATTGTACGTCTTTGCAGTTGTAATGTTATCATATATGAAAATGTTTAAATCGCAATGGGTACAGAATACAGATGAATGCTAAATCAGAGCAAAATTCGCAAAACTTGTAAAACGTTTTAACTATAAATAACATTAAACGAATTTGTTTTCTTCAGGTGCAAACCCTGGAACAGATGTAGGCATGAGGTCAAGGTATGGATGAATAAAAAATATATAAGTGAATATCGGATGTGGCTGTTTTATTTCATGGCGTCAAATCAATAAGATTTACATAATATTGTATTGTTTGGTCTATGGCATTTTTGAGTTTGTGATGGATGAACTACGTGAATTAACAGTTCTGAAACAAAATATAAATGTACAAATCAATAAAAATGTTCAAAAATCCTTAGCTAAAAAAAATGTGCATTAAACGTTTATGATATTTTTAATTTGATATTACATTCTAACCTTTTTTGTAATGAAAATAAATATAAACAATTTTAGTGAAAATGTAATTATGTTCGTTTAAAAAAATTAAAATATGTTCACAAGAAAACAATATTAGTTTGTAATTAACAAAGATAAAAATAACAAGAGAATAAATAACAAAGATTTAAAACTAATTGTTTAATATTTTGTACCAATTAATTAAATTTCTCATTTAAAAAATGTTTAATTTAAATAACTAATCTTTAAACGATTTCTGTATAGTAACTTTTAAAATATGTATTTAATGTACAAGAGTGGCCCCAGGTATCTTAATTTCACGTTTTACAATGCAAATTAATTAATGAGAGTTTGGAAAATATTCGACGACGAAGTAAATAAAACTAAAAAAATAATTAAAAAGAGACTCACAATAAATAGTTATTAATTTATGTAAAATGGAGTAACTTTGATAATTTAACGGTACCTACTTTTAAATATTGTTTTTTTTTTAAATTAATGTATAAGTGGTATAAGGTATGAATATAATCAAATATACTAGCGAAAACAAAATAATTATTATTGTTGAAGGGAATCATGAAATAAACAAAAAAATATTTATGAAAGTACTAAAGAAATTTAACAAATTGGTATGTGATGGCATATGAGGGAAATAAACGAACTTAATACCATTGTATGTATAAAATAAACATAAAATAATTGTATTTATATTTCAAAAAGGCTTTTGATCAAAACGTTTTAATGAAAATTGAACTGAATCAAATTGTATTTTAAAACTATACACATATAATATACAATATATATGTTATACGAAGAGCATTTATGCACTCACCATCAATTGGCTGGTGGCTGGGGCGGCCTTGGCGACGGTCTTGACTGCTTTGGCAGATTGGACTTGTCCGACGACAACGATGTTCATGGATACCTTTTCTGCGCCCATTTTTGATTTGTTGGTTGGTTTTTGAGTGTTGAGTGAAAACTGAAAGCGGAAAAAAAAATTGTAATTCGTTTGAAATCAAAATTGAAATATTACTGTGTCATTTTTTACTCACCAAAGAATATATCTGCACAAAAATATGTGTTATGCCGGAATCGTGAACACGTACACCTTTATATACCTACGCACTCGTCGTCGGCCGCTTGCAAGTGGGGAAGCAAAGTGGCGTGATCGTGAAAGATCGTGGTGCTTGTTTGTTGGCCAATCATAATGAAAAACAAATCAAACGTGTGATGTGCATAGCTTTGGAATGTCGAGATAATAATATATGAACAATTGATTAAAAGTCGTTTTATACTTTACTACTTGTTCTATGCTATTGATCGTTTAAAAACGAATTTATTCAAATTAATATTTTGGTCGTTTTTAAGTGTGAAATGTGTAACATGAACAAATTTCATAATACAGTCGAGCCAGGCTAAGTTTAAGGCAGATAGAAAAAAGAGATATGTGTATTTCGAGAGGCCTAACGCGAATTTGACCTAACCTAACCTCGATGAAAGTAAAAAAAAAACCTTGTTGTCAAGGTTTTCGAGCCATCGAGGTTTGAGTTATTGCGATTCGCTTGTACTTGGATTGAGTGTATTTCGAGTATAACAAGGTATAGATTAAATTTAATATTACATCCGTTTTCGAAATTCCGTAAAACCTTTTTCAATCATTATTATTTATTAGTATATATATATATATTTTTTAATACGGTTCAACTCAGTTAAAAATTAACGAATGTAGACGTTATCACACAGAATTGATGATAACGTAGTGACGAGCCAGTTTCATATATTTGCTACAACTGTTTAAATTAAAGCCACCATTTAATAATTTTCGAGTTTTTCTCCCTGCTTGCCTGCTATGTAGTGAACTTATTTAATATTTCTTTAAAAATATTAAAAAATTTAACTAATTATTATTACTTTTTCTATTCTCAACCAATAATAGTCAGTGTGTTAATGTATGTAATATGTACCTCCATTTAAAAACCAAACGATTATAATTATTGATCATATTATTATCTACTCATATAAATAATATTGTATACTTTTATGTATGCCCCAAAAATACCGTCAGTCCAGTATCATCCTTAGTATCAGTTGTATTACTGTAATAATTACGAAAATTTAAATTAAATGACATCGACCTCAAATTTTTTTTTAAAATACTTGTTCATAAAAATAATCTGCGAGATTGGTTAAATCCCGTGATTTGTTTTTTAATTGTTATTTTCACTAAGTCAACTACTTGATTTACTTTAACTTGTTTGATTTTCACTTAATTTTCTTTTACATTTTTTGTTTAAAAATATGATCAAGAAAATATTGAATTTAAAAAAATGTAGTTGCATAAAAATGAATGATTGAAACAAAAAGTATTTATAATGCCGTTTGATTAGAATTTCCATCCTTATAACTAGGGTCCTTATTGAAGGTAAATGCCTTTTTTTTTTAATAACAATAGAAAAATAATTTTTAAATTACAAGGTGTTTCATTTAATTTCTCAGATAATTGGTGAACATTTTTTTTGTATTTATTTGTCTTTTTTCATTTTTTGATTTGTATGTGTTTAACTATCAATTATTGACCTGATAGTTTTCTATACATATCAATGGAACAAATCAATAAGAGCTTGTAAAGACGACATCTTGTCGATGTTATGCTTAAAACAAGTTTCGATGGGATTTATTATCATCGATAGGTATTGATAAAGTATTTGATAAGGCATGTTAATTTATCGTTTTCGAAAAGTATGCACACCTATTTATAGATTATTTTTTTTATTACTACAAACTAATTAAATCAATTTGCAATTTTTTAATAAAGGTTGTAATTGCTTTTTTATATGAATAATCAATAAAATGCTTTTTTTGATTATATTATATTTTTTGTTCACAGATGGTTGTCATTGGTTACATTACGTTATACGTTATAATACAAATAGTATAAATAGGTAGTTTTTTGTTTGAAAATTAATTTAAATACTTTAATTATGTAGCAAACGTTTGATATATTTATTCATAACAGTTTATTTTTAAATGCAATGTTTTTTTACGCGTTGTAGAACAATAAATGATTGCAAAAAATCCCTCATTCATATTTTAATATTCAACTACTTCGTCAATGTATTATAATATTTATTCCCAACATTTTCCTTAAAATTGTACGTCTTTGTGGTAACTATATTATTATACATCACTGAAGTATCATAAAGATTTTAATTTTCATCATTCAAAACCAAAATGAAAATAATACCGATTAGGTTCAATATCATTTTTCATAAGAACACAACAATTGAAGTAGTTGAAACAGATTTCATTTTATTTGATCTTTATTCCTACCAAAAAGTAATATCACAGAAAGACAAACAAACAAATCAGTTTATTTCAGTTTATATTGATGTAAAATAATCAATGTTAAATAATATTTTAAATAACATTGTAAAGTATAAGTGTATAACTGTAAATACGTATTGTTGAAATAATTGGTTTCTTTAAGTTGAAGCGAAATACATTTATGGTCTCGGATATCACGTTTTGCATTTGATGTTCGTGATTTACGTTATTATGTTTACTAAAATTAATTCACTGTTGAATAATATAAGATAATATAGTTACTCATATTTTCAAGAGCATCAGCACAATATTGAATATACAATATTTCTGTATCACTAAATAATACGTAAACATATATACAATATTATCTGTACCTTTTACAATTATTTAGGCACAACACTATTGAATGATTGTTAATATAACAATTAATTACTGATATGGATATCAGAAATTCGTAAAAGATAGGCACGAGGTTCAAGTATAAATAGAAAAAAATCATAGTTCAATTCCGGAAGAGGCTGTTTTATTTCATGGTTTACATATCAATTTGAATCATTTATTGAATTATTTGGGCTATGGCATGTTTGAGTTTGAGATGGAGCTCATGGATGAATTACATGAATTAACAGTTCTGAAACAAAACAAAAAATACATACAAATCAATAACAAAGTTAAAAAACATGCACCATAATGTTTATAATAATTTTAATTCGATATCACGATCTAATATTTCAGTAATGAAAATAATAAAATAGCGGAATCATCATAACGGAATCGATGTAATTTATTGTTCAATTTAAACACTTGAAATTTGATGTAGTACAATATATATTAATGTAGGCACACGGTAAAACAAAATTCGTAATATTTAAATCATAATTTATTTACAATACACGGAAGATTGAAAAATAATAATTTTTGATTTTGACGTTTTGAACTCGTGATTAATTTAAGTTACTAATCTTTAGAAAGGTTTCTATAATGTTCATTCTTGAATATATATTAACTATATTATAAGGGACTATTTTAAAGTATTTAAAAAATGCTTGGCTCACAATAAATAGTGTTTACTTAACAATAGTAGTTATATATTGTTTTATTTTTTTAAATTCGATTCATTCTATAAGTGTTACAGATTAGAAAATAATCAAATATAATACACATTTGAATCATATTAATCCAAATTGTAAAAATGTCATACATCAATTTAAAACTTTGCACAGTGTATTTATTTACCTACTTTGTTTACATTATCAAAAATAAAATGAAATTAAAACTAAATGACAGTTCTGGTTGGTAAAAATATCTATATCTATCTTTCTACTATAGAAAATTTGAAAAAATCAAAACATTTTTAACTCACCATCAATTGGCTGGTGGCTGGGGTGGCTTTGGCGACCGATTTGATGGCCTTGGCAGATTGGACTTGTCCGACGACAACGATGTTCATGGATACTTTTTCAGCGCCCATTTTTGGTTTTTGGTTGGTTTTTGAGGATTAAAGTGAAAACTGTAAATGGAAATAAAATTTTTATAAATTATAAATCTAAATAAAACTTATATCATCGATTTGTACTTACCAATGAATATATCTGCACAAAAAGATGTGTTATGCCTTAATCAAGATCACGCACGCCTTTATATACACTCGCCCGGCGGCTGAAAATGGAAAGGTGGTGTGGCGTGATCATTGCAATATTTACTATGAAGATTGCTTGTTTATCAATAATGTAAAACATATTATCAGTTATGTAATGTGCATAGCTTCCGAATTTTATGATATCGGAAAAAAAATTGTATACTCGGTCGTTTACCAAGCATGCTGTCACCCATTTTTTTCGTTTGATAAAGTATTTGTTCAAATTAATATTTTTTATTTTTTTTATTTTTTTATATTTTATTTTTTTTTTTTTTGTAGCCATACATAACTGGACATTATTTTTAAACATTTGGATTTAATTTTATTCGAGTTTAACACGATTTCGTATATTAAATATTACATATATTTTATTATATCAATAAATTAAATTATTTATATAAAAATAATATATTTATTATTTAGACTTATTAATTATGCTTATATTACATCTATTTTTTAAGTACTATAAGTATTATATTAAGTACAATGTACATGTATTTTAAAAACTCTTAAAATACTCGGTCGAATAACATTTTGAAAAATAAAAATTGAGTTATAAATAGCATATTTGAATATATTTAAAAAAAACTCAGAAACTCAATTATTAAATTTTAAAATGTCATAATATTCTTGGGTGTAAAATATTGTGTTGCTCACTAATTGAAATATCCCCTAACTTTCGCTCATTAACACAATAACAATGTAGTACTCTCCATTTTATTGGTAAAATATTGGTAAGACAAGGAAACAACAAAACAAATATGCTGTACTTGAATTGCCTATCCATATCGCCGTGTTAATTAAAATAATTTTTCTATTAAATAATAAAAGTATAATAATAATAGGCTTCAAAACACAGTTTTCGAGTCGTGGTATTCCCATTATAATGCATCAATGCCCTCCACGAGTTGTAAAGAATATATCTACTATGAAATATTAGTATAATCAAACAGAAAACAGTAAATAATAAAACAAAATATTAAATAATATACAATATTATATTATATTTATTGTATATATATAATAATATGATGTAATAACTGTAAATTGGATGTTTCATATTAAATTGTCTGGTTGGTAAAAATTGAACCTTCATTTGAAACGTCTGAACTAACACCTCTGATAATTATCATCAGTTTTTATGAATTATTTTTTATTAGAAAATTCGTATGTCATATTGAGCACATTTTTCGATAATCATCTATCCATGAAAAATTGATATGCTTGAATAGGGCAGGGTGCTAATGGAAAATAAAAATAAATTGTACTTCATTATTGAATTTTCTCAAATGATATAGTATGACGTGTTATAGGGCCGGTCATATGGTTGATAATTGAATTCCCATTATTTGAAGAAAAAAAAAGATATAGTTGTCATTAACATTTACAACTATTTTAAAAGTTTGTAATTAATTGTATTGATATGATTTATAATATATTGTTTGTTGCTCTTTCATCAATCCTTTTCCACACTTTTAGCAAATGCATGTTAAATCTATAATTTTAAAACAACTATAGACGATTAAATATATATTGTAAGTAGGTAGTTAACAGTTGATATTATTAAAAAAAAAAAAATAATAATAATAAAAGGTATTATTGTTTTTTCTTTTTTGAGTTATTTATTACTACGTTTGAACCACCTATACGTAAGTCGTAAGTCAATTTAATACATTTTGTAAGTTGTAGCTAGGTAATTGACTAGGTGCTCATTCAACATTTGATTTTTCTGCATAATCAGTAAAATATTCGACTTCGGAACAAGAAAATAAGACATTAAAAATAGTTAAATATAATAATAACCTATAACAAACATTTTTTAAAATCCTTTTCGAGATATTATTCAGTATTTACTGTCAATAGAACAACTACTACTACTGTTACTCTGTGTTATTATAATATGAACATACTAATTTTAACTGCATAGGTACGATAGGTAATTATGTTAACTTTTGTCACTTCGTTATACACAAAGAACCCAAAATTAGATGCATGAAAATTAGGGCCAGACTTTACCGTTATTTGCAAATGCATAACTTTAAGTATAAGATTTAAAACAATTTAGTATAATAACACACAGCTGTAAGTTGGTTCAAAGTATAGGTCTGCTGCGTGGCGTGATGTATATTATTATATAATATTTCTACAATTATAATTATTGTTATCTACCATGATAACTAGTATTTGTTTCTATGATTTTGTTTTTTATTCGTCGTGAAAACCATTGGTTTTAGCTTCAACAACAACCAGGTCATTTGCCATACATTGATAAACGTACTTTTTTAATTAAATAATTAAGGTCAATTACATAGTTGCCTTACATGGTTACAAAATACAATCTATTTTCATAATTTATGAATAAAAATATTTATACGTATTTAAAACAATATGAATGGATTTTTGTGTGCTATAATAGTATTGTAATAACTGTTATAATAAAATAATAACAATTTTATTCAAAAGGCGTTTCTTAAGAGTTTTATAATAAAATATGAGTTATGATTACCCGTCATAAACACAGGTGTTAAATATAAAATTAATTTAGACATTTCAAAATTGTTTTTAATTCATCAACACCAAATAGCATATTACATACAGGCTATAATTATTGTGTGTTCTCTGCTGTCTACAGCATAATAATTAAAGATCTATTTTAACAATCTAAAATTTTGCTTACTAAATATTAAGCGCTAAAAATCAAATCAAAATGTTTCACTTATTATTAAGTATAATTTTGATATTGCATTTGCATGTTTTTACATTAGACGACGTAGTTGGTTCATTTTAAATTTAGGTCCTTACACATTTAAATTAATATGAAACATTTGCACGATTCCCTAAACTTTACGTTTACGTCTAAAATAATTTTACAATACAATATAGAGGTACCTACTAATTATAAAAACAGAGAGTGACGAAAACGTACCATAATTGACAAAATTGTAATTATTCACTATTATTGGCATAAACTGTTCTAATGTTCTGAATAGGTCTTATTCTGTATACCTACCATTATATTGATTAACAAGGCTCGGATGTTTATGACTTATCATATTTTTCTGGAGTGTGATATAAATTTGATTTTTGAAGTTTGTATTACAAATAGACATACTTGTTTTGCATATTTTTGCATATTTGACATTTTTGAGCATATAAATGCATTTATTGATCATTTCTAGATTTAGTGGCATTTAGATTTACTTACAAAACACAAGTAATTCTGAATTACTATTATGGTATTATCCCATTTTTTTTAATTGTTTAAAATAGATATTATATTTAGTGCACATTTAATAGTGTTTATAATTTATTTTGAATTAATATTAACACCTTTTTTGAGTATTTTTTTTTGCATATATTTGTCAAAAAATAGGTATATTTGATATACTTAAAGGCATATATTTGCATATTTTTAAATTTTTATATGCGTATTTTAATGAAATTTTGGTCATTAACAACATCCAAACTCTATTGATAAATAAATTATTATTGAAGTAAAAGACGCCTAAAATGTACAATCACGGTCTATTATGCAAGTAGGACTGTTGTATTATACTTAGAACTTGTTTTCATGTTGATTGGCAATAATGTTTTAATTTGTTGACAAATTTGTCAGAGGGTCCTGACCAAAATACAACGGTCTATTTGGAATAAGTATGATCCGATTATCCGATTGAACATTGAAATCATTATATTTCGTACGTAACATGACGTCTTATCAATCACCTAATTTAGCGTTTTATCTAACAATAAGACAACATCTGACAATGAATCGCACCAAATTCATCGATCACGCCATTTACGCCCCCCCCCTTACACTACCTTAGACGGTCTTTTATGTGTGTATAAAAGAACGGCCGTGTGGTCAAATCCGACATAACACATTTTTTGTGCAGCTTTATTCTTTGGTAAGTACAACCTATTAAACAACACTCTTTATCCGAATAGATGTTTTTTTTAAATTCACGGCAACATATTTTGTAGGTATCTGATATTCTTTTTTTTTTGCAGTTTTCCACATAACTACTCAAAAACCAACCAAAAACCAAAAATGGGCGCTGAAAAGGTATCCATGAACATCGTTGTCGTCGGACAAGTCCAATCTGCCAAGGCCATCAAATCGGTCGCCAAAGCCACCCCAGCCACCAGCCAATTGATGGTGAGTTAATAATTATGTGATTTTTTAATTTTGAATACTACCTTATGGGATAGTATTTTTTCCAATTCATATTGTTATTGTGTTTCAATTTTGTGATTAAAATTTTGAGTTAAAGGTTTTTTGAGATCGATAAATTTTCTTAATTTTTGACAATTTAGATAAATAAAATAATTAGTCACTACATCATAAATATATATATAATTTAAAAAATAATAAATTATAAGTACTTTTTTCATTTTTTTCAACATTCTATTGTTACATTATTCATGAAATTAAATGTTGTTATTAATTAAAAAACCGTACATAAATTATAAAAAAAATTACATGAATAACGAAATCATATTATATCTAAATAAAATGAATAGTGTATACGTAAATATATATTTACCGAACATTTATGACACCATGAACTATGTCATATAAGCGGCCAAGGGGCAAGAAAAATGTCACTTTTCAAATAATAAATGTAGCTTTTTAAAATGTTAGAATTCTTATGTAAATTTTTGATTTCACTCTTCAAATATTATTTCTATTTTTAATTAATCCCCAAAAATTATTCTACTGTTAATGGTTGTACTCACTATGTTGTGGCGGCATGAATGTGTTCGCGAGCCACATGGATAAATACAATGATACCAAAAGCCAAAATGTTTATAAATACATTTTATAATTTTATCTAAGTAATATAGATAGCTAACAGCTGATAAACACATAAAATTATATATTAGAATCAACTTATAAATTAATGCCAAAAAAAAAAAAAAATATAATAATAATAATAAGTAAATTTTGGTTTTTGTTGATAAGACGTGAGCCGCAAGTTGGTCGCTACTGTTATACATCATAATATATTATTGTTGTATTAATTTACCATATGTTTTATTGTTTCAGAACTGTTAATTTTGTCAAGTCTCCATAAACCTCAAAATCAAAAATGCCATAGTCCAAAACTTCAAACAGTACATAGTAAAAATGTGTAATCATATATTTATTACGTATTGACATCGCAAAATAAATCTGTCTTTCCGTCGTTTAATTTATTTGTTTTTCAATTACTCTCATATTAGGTATGTAACCTTTAACCACCGAATACCGATAGGTATCATCCTAGTGAAAACATGGAAACAGGGCCGTATTTACAGTTTTTGCGCCCTGGGTCTACCATAATTCCCCCCCCCCCTCTACCAAAAAATAGATCCACTTTTTTGATTTTTCCTAACCCATTTTTAGTTATAATTCTTTATGACTAAGTTATGGTTGTTTATCTACAATCGTGATTATGTTATTATGTTAAAAAAATATTAATTATATTCACTTATCCGTTATCGTTGCACTGCTAAGTTCACAAGGGTCATGTCATAGTACAAATTCTTTCCAAAAAAAAAATATTTATTGATACGATACTACACCGGGTTACAGCGGTGCCCGGCAGTCCTCTAAATAGATCAATATTTGGCCGCCCTAGGCAAATGTCCTCATTGCCCCCCCACCCCTTAAATACTGAACTGCATGGAAATATTAATACAATAGAATCATGATGCAAATTCTAAACTACAGTAATTTACTATTAAGTGTCATCAAATTTATTGGTATAATAGAGTCTATCTGTAAAAGCCTGATTTTTGATTTAATAAATTCACCAATACACAAAGTGCAAAGTGAGAGCTCAGTAAAAAAAAAAAAACTACATGGCTAAAACATTTCATTTTTGTTATATACTAAATATTGTAACTACAATTTTAAACGTTCCAAGAGTGATATAAAAATGCAACAAGCAGTCAATTAGTTCTATGTTGTTATTTATAAATATTATATACTTACTTATAATCCCGATTTTATAGCACCAAAAATCCTAAAAATATAAGCTATTATATGAACAAAAGAACCATAAAATATGCCCTATAAATGTGCCTCAAAAACATCAAAAATAGCAACAAATAAAAATAAACCCGTCCGCATTGTTTCATCGATACTCACCCAGATGCAGTTATTAGCTATTTGAGTTCTAATTTTTTCGATAATTTCATTGTACAAATCAACAACGTACAATTTTCTCACTGGTGTTGTTTCGTCTGGAATATGATTTTTAGTATACTTTTCTAAAAATGTTCGAAACTTTGCGTTGGATAACTTGTTTAATGGTATATTTGCAGAAACAAAAATCTTGCATTGATCGATATTAAAAGTACATTTTTATGAAATATTTCTAATTAACTGCTGTTTCTTTTCAATTTTATTTTGCTCCCGGTTAATGGCTTTTAAATGTTTATTCGTTTTTAAGTGTGGAGTAACGTTAAATGTTTTGTCACTATTAACCTTACGTTCACACAATTTGCTAAACAGAATACTTGCGCTAACCGAAAAAAGCTCATCGCCAAACTCGGACACAAAATATCTTAGTCTCGAATAGTTCGATGTATTATCTTTTGGAATTTTACGTTTAATATCGAAACAGAAAAACAAATAATATACAATCGAGTAGTGACGAATATGAAACGAAATCAAAGGCTACGGAGAACCGACTGACGCTGAAATACCTGCGACAGTCGACGGTATATTATACAATCTAAAATTATGTGGAACAATAACAGATAAGAAGGTATAAATGTATAAATATATTCGAAAAGGGGATTTTTCTTATTGATTCGCATAAATGTATACTATTTTTCATTCAATATAAACGAGATTTATGAAAAATATAAAATAAAGCGTTGAATTAAGAATATTAGCAAAAAACATTGAACCAAAAATTCAAAAATAGCACTAAAATTCTAAAATTCTTCAAATAATATGCAAAAAATAGCAAAATAAAATTTCATATTTAGAGTCCTTGGTGCATAAAACAAATTTATAGCCCACTGTGCTATTTTTATCTCTATAATATAATAAGTAGCAAATGCTATAAAATCTGAACCCTACTTATAAGTAAGTTTAATATAGGTTGAACTACTTATAACTGCTTATATTTAACTTAGTTTAATGTATTTGCTTTATTTATTTATTAAATAGGTTATGTACACCAAAGTCCAAGACATGTACAGACTATAGTATCCGAGTTTTCGTGTCGTGAAAGTTAATGAATTTATCAATGTTAATATGTTGTCAATACTATTACTAATTAATATTATCGAATAGATATAATATAATTCACAGACAATTTTTAGCACTTGAGTACAACTCAGTTTAAAGTTAACGAATCTAGACGTTATCACTCGAAGTCACTATCCGTCTGACTTATGATTAAAAAGTTGATGACCATCCAGCGTAATCTAATTTCGAACTGTTTCATGGAAAATCAACACTCAACCATATGCATGTTTGCCTTGGTGCAATACAGTGCATTAGTGTAATATTTCCTTAAAAAAGTTATAAAATTAGTCGAATTATTTTTCTCATTATTTATATATTTTGTCTAGTTAGAACTCATAATAAGTTAAAAACTAAATAATGATAATCGTTACTCACCAATCACCATGCATAATATTTTATACCCGCATTTACAGTATGTTCCAAAAGTCCTATCGACAAACAGTTCTGACAGCGTCGTCGATAGCACAAAAAAAAAGTATGTCCCAAAAGTCGCATTTCCCTTAGTATTTCCATGGTGAAATAATAATATATTTAATGCAGTCTTAATAAAATAATTTAATTATTATAATTTCCATACTTATAACTGAAAAAAAAGTGAAAACAATTTTTTTTTTTTTAACTAAAATTATACAGAAAACAATTATTGTATTATTTATTCATGACAGTCAATTTTGAATTGCAATATTTGTTTTATAAAATAAAATATCATATTTTTTATATTTGACTACTCAGTCAATATAATATTATACTATTTATCGCTAAAAAATTGAATGTCTTTGTGGTAATTGCATTGTTCTACTTCACTAAAGTATTATGCATTATAATTTACGTCATTCAAAAGGAAAAACAAAATCTGTAAATAAAAGTATTGAAATAAGAAAAACGTGCAGTAATATTATGCTCTTTAAATTATACAATTGCCAAATATTTTTTTTCATACGAGTACAAAAATTGAAGCATTTGTTTTTTTTTTGATATTAACTCCTACTGTGATTACAATAAAATAAAAGAAAAAAACCAAACAAGCAAAAAAATCAGTTTTGCACAAACTCAATGTTTATCAATATCATCATATCCAAAATTTCAAACATTTCGTGTAAATATGTATATTACAGTAGATACTAGCTGATTCCGTGCATTTTGTTAAAAATGCCATCTCCATGTAAGAGACTTGATGGTGATGATGAGAGCAGTATATTATTATAATTCATCAGGAGGCAATCCACCGCAGGAAGATTGCATACCACGCTAGGTGCATGCTATATTGCTATCCAAATGATTATATGAATAATATGTTTTATTTTTTATTTTCATTGTGAACACTCCGACGAGCGACTATAAGTGCAACTCAGCCGCCTCCTTGGTGTGCAATGTGCGAAGATTCGATTTGATGCATTCTTAAGCCTGTTCTGCCAGATTAACCATTAATGGTATCACATTGCTTCACACACTGTTCATGGTTTACGTAATTATGTTTACTCTAATTAATTCGCTATTGAATAATATAAGAGAGTTATAATACTCATATTTTTAAGAGCATCAGCACGACATACAATATTTCTGTATCACAAAATAATACTTATTTCAAGATTACCTGTACCCTTACGCCTTAATACTGATTTAGTGGCTTGGCGTGGCGTGTTGGCTGCTGCCAGTCGCAGAATGCGACTGTGAGTAAGTAACGGCCACAGCTACTAGCTCCCGGATGGGTGACCAACCCGGTTCATAGTAGTTAAAAACCTCGCCACACATACACGTGTTTGCTACCTACCGTAACAACCGTAAAAATCTACCTACCCTACCAATCTTACCCCTACCATAGTTCATAACCACTACAACAGCTAATGGCCTCAGTCGCCGGGCTTAAGTGCAATAATAATAAAAAAAATACTCATTTAGGTACAAGTGTACAACACTGTTATGTGATTGATAATATAACACTTAACTATTGATACAGATATAAGAAATTCGGAAAAGATAGATATGAGGTCCAGGTATATATATATAAAAAAAAATTCATAGTTCAATTTCGGAAGAAGCTGTTTTATTTCATGGTGTCAATATCAATCTAAATAATATACTCGTATTGTATTATTTTGGCTATGGCATGTTTGAGTTTGCGATGGATGGATGAACTACATGAATTAACAGTTCTGAAACAAAAAAATATATACAAATCAATAACAACGCTAAAATACACGTGAAAAAATGTTTATAATAATTTTAAGTCGATCTAACATTTCAGTAATGAATATAATAAATAATTATAATAGAATTCATGTAACTGTTATATTAAGAAAATTAATATTTCAATAAACTAATGTAAGTAGGTACACACGAAAAATAAATTTGTGACATTTTATTATAATTTATTCATAAATGATTGTATAAGGAAGATTTAAAAACTATGAATTTGATGTTTTGTACTAACGATTAGTTTAAGTTACACTAATCTTTACAAAGGTTTCTTTATAGCAAATTTTTGAATGTATATTTACTCTATAATAAAAAAAGATTTTAAAATGATTTACAATTGTGAGGCTCAGAATAAATAGTTTTTAACTAACAGTACTAATATTTTTTTTTAAATGTTTTTATTTGCTATGTATAAGTGTTATAGTTAACAAAATAATCAAATATAATAGTCATATTAATCAAAATTGATAAAATATCTATCTAACTATGAACATTTTAAACTATAAACAAAGTATTTATATACCTACTTACTGTGTGTACCAAGTCAAAAATCAAATAAATATACCAATCTACGCATGTGCTACGTATACAAAAAATAATAATATTGAAACTAAATAACAATACTTATTGGTAAAAATATCTCTATCTATCTTTCTATTATAGAAAATTTGAAAAAATCAAAACATTTTTAACTCACCATCAATTGGCTGGTGGCTGGGGTGGCTTTGGCGACAGATTTGATGGCCTTGGCAGATTGGACTTGTCCGACGACAACGATGTTCATGGATACATTTTCTGCGCCCATTTTTGGTTTTTGGTTGGTTTTTGAGGGTTAAAGTGAAAACTGAAAGTGGAAAAAAATCGTTGTTAACTTGAAATCAGAATAAATCTTTTATTACCGTTTCGTACTCACCAAAGAATTTATCTGCACAAAAAGATGTGTTATGTTTTAATCAAGATCAAGCATGCCTTTATATACACTCGTCAGGCGGCTGAAAGTGAGAAGGTGGCGTGGCGTGATCATTGCAATATTTATCATGACGATTGCCTGTTTATCAATAGTGCAAAACATTATATCGCAAACGTAATTTGAAGTGCTTCCGAATTTTATGATATCGGAAAAAAAATTGTATACTCGGCCGTTACCCATTTTTTTCGTTTGATAAAGTATTCATTCAAATTAATATTTTTGTAGTTTTTAAGTAAATATACATAACTTGGCATTATTTTCAAACATTTAGATTTAGTGCAGTGGTCGGCAACCTGCATCCATTGTTAACTGCCCACTTAAAATTCTAAGACGACAAAATTGAATTGAATAGCATATCAAAATAATCATATTTTACGTTGTATAAATATAATGAACGTTGTGTTTTTTTAAATAATTTGTAATGCAAAATTTTTATTTTTGTATGGCCCGCGAAATCTTTATAATTTGTGAATGTGGCCCGAAAGTCCAAAAAGGTTGCCGACCACTAATTTAGTGTTATTCGAGTATAACAAGATAAATATTAAGTATAACACCTTTTTTTTAGTTCGTACAACTTTTCAAGGACTATAATTATTATAAATATATATATATTTTTAAGAACAAAAAGCTACTTGTTCGAACAACACTTTCAAAATAACATCATCTGATTCATAATTTACACTTAACCGTTAAAAATACCTGTCATTTCAAAAAAATTGTCACACCACGATGCAAAAAAAGCTATTTGTTTATATTACCTATATAATTAAATTTGCTAATAATAATAATATTTGATTAAATATAAATTGTGTGTGAGCAGTTACTTTTCGTATCCTACAGCAACAAGATTTGCATAAATATATTTACTAATACTTTATAGTTTTGTAATACTAGATTATTTGTATTCTTGGTATACATTTTTTATATTTCAATAACTACGAAGCTACCTACTCGTTTAAGAATTAATTTTTAAAAAAAGGCATCAGATTCATAACTAACAGTAAAAAAGTTGATTATAATTTGAAAAAAATATTTGTATCACCTCAGGACTAATTATGTATTAAATCTTAATATTAAAAGTATTATGAACTATGCTCATAAAGTCCAAAAATCATAATTGGAATAAATTCATGATTATATGAACATTTTTGGGTGAGCTGCAGGCTTTATAAATCAATCCGTAGATATAATATATCCTTTCAACATTTGATCTGGGTACGAGTTTCATGAATACTATTTGATTCAATAGACATATTGTGCGCACAGTTACTTTTTGTATCCTTTAGTAACTATGTTTGCATAAATGTATTTACCAATACTGATTAATATTTAAATTCATTGAATTCAAAGAAAGAATTTAATAATCTGTATAGTGTTTACCTATATTATTAGACGTGTCCTGCCCGACCGATCAACTAGCTCAATAACTAAGATAGCCAGATGCTTGACATTTGCATGGTACTTTAGTACTACCACGTACCTACCGGTGCACTAAGAAAGGATTGTCTATAATTCGCATTTTAAATAGGTGCTATCATATGTTTTTTTTTTAGATTCACGATAGAAATCGAAAAGTTTTTGTGTATAAACGGTTGCCTTTGGCTACAGATCATAAAAATAATAGTTGAAATTTATAGAAATTGGTAGAAATTAGTATTTTTATGTTTCTTCATAAATATTTGCCATTACCATGGTGGGCATTGCCTCGATTCAATAAACTATATCTGAAAACCAAATATGTATGTTTGTAGCATATATACTGAAAAACGAATAAATCGATTTTGACAAAAGTCTCATCGATTTTACTTGGTTGTACCAGAAAAGTATAGATAGTTTTTTGAGCCTCGTTATAAAATATTTCAGATGCTGATATCCTAATCCTAAATCGAATCCGTGACTTGCAGTAAGTTGCCCATCTAAGATGAATTTCAACACAAAAAGCCGGTTTATACGACGACGATTTGCACTGAACATGTTATAATTCCAAATTATACAATTTAAAAAGAATATATTTTGAGTCGAAAATCGTAACTTTTCTAGATACACACAACGGATATAAAAGGTGTTCTAAACTTATGTTCCAAAACCCATCAACGGAGATACGTATTATGTATAAAGTGTTTCAGACTTATGTTTAGAGACCTCATAATGAAACAAGCAAAAGTAGAACATATTAATACAACATTAACATTTTGGCATCAATTTTATTATTATTACTTTAGTATATAACTAAATATATCTTTTACTATACGATTTTTTTTTAAAATAATGTTCAGCTTCGATAACAGCCGACAGGGGACGTTACTTTTATGCATTGTATATTACTTAGTTATGATAACAGTAAGATACAACAATAACATATTGGATGGAGAACTAATAATTATTTGTTTTTTTATTTTTATTGGTCTTGAAATTATACATTTTTACGCTGGAAACCAAACAATTTAATAAATACAGTTTTAAAAACAATGTAGTTGTTTGTGTACAAAAATTGGTTTGTTATTTAGTAGGTGTCCGACACTTAGGATTTCCATTTTGCTCATTTCGCCTTCCTTGACAGTATTGTTTGTTATTCGTGTGATATTGTTTTCAGCGTAGGCCGGTTTTTATTTTGCTCTTAACTATTTGTTTATGTTTCTATATATAAGGTGTTGTTATTAACTATACAACAAAACAACTAAAATCATCATTCATCGTCAACATTTAAAACTCGAATGTCTATAAGAAAAATTGAGGTAATATTTTTTTAGATTTTTGGATATAAGTGTGAGAGTATAATCGAGTATAATAGAGTATATCTTGTATTACAATTTCAAGCCCTAGCTACGAAAGTTACAAAAATAAAAATATTTTATAAATTAATTACTAGACACAAAATAATTTTCTTATTTATAAGTCGTGAACATTTATAATTCAAAAGCATCATATAAAAATACGGTGCATGAGGATTTTAATTATTTTAATCTGCTATGTGCCTATGTATGAACAGCTTATGTAGAATAACATTTAAATCACTCGAAACTCGTTTGAATATATATTTTGAAAGTTCAACGAATATAAAAAATAAAATTTAAGTAACAGTGTTGAGTGTTATAGGTGCTTGCGATGAATACATTTTAAATAACCACATTATTTTTTTAAATTTTGTATTTATTTATTTGAATAGGTAGGTAGTCATTTACTACATGTAAATATCCAATTTCGTCCAAATTTATACTTTAGTATTTATTGTGAAACTATGCTCGGCTTTATTTTTTTAATTCCAATATAAACAACCAACGAAGGATCCTGTAGGACCTATGATATGAAGGTATTAAGACGCGTTTACGGTATTTGATCAAGCAAATATATTTTATCGACATTTTTTTGAAAAAAAAAAACTATAAAATATCGAACATTTCAAATATATATATCGAAGAAAGTCAAAATATTTAAAATGGTAAACCGTGTATAGAAAATACTTATTTAAAATTAGGTAAACATTAAAATTATCTGTATTTATTCGTGTTTTATTTTAAACAAAATCACAAAAATTAGTATTGATTTTGTCCATTATAGGTAGTTTTGAGTAAATATTCTCATTGTTTGTGTTATTTTTTTTTTTGCGAAATTTAAAAAAAATTACAACTATTATCTATCATGAATCTAAATTCATTATTCTACCTGTAAATATGTTTAAGTAAAATGATTTAATTAGAAATCACGACACGTACGATGTTTACAGACGAATCACCTCGGAACGCTCTATCAGACATCAACCAACAACAACCACTTGTTGCAATCACGCCACCACGCTGCTCTATATCAGGTGAAAATCGGCTGTATAAAAAGACGCACCGATGCTACATTCCAGCATAACGCAATTTTTGTGCAATTACAATCTTCAGTGAGTATTTACCAGAAATAATATTTCTTCGACTTTATTAAAATTGTTCATATTTTATAATTTATAATTTTTCTTCCATTTACAGTTTTCACTCTAACCCTCAAAAAACCAACCAAAAACCAAAAATGGGCGCTGAAAAAGTAACCATGAACATCGTCGTCGTCGGACAAGTCCAATCTGCCAAGGCCATCAAATCCGTCGCCAAGGCCGCCCAAGCCACCAGCCAATTGATGGTGAGTTCATAATATTATATTGTGGTCTGATTTTCAAAAAAAAAAAAATCATTTAACAGTAACTATTGATTTTCAATTCGTTCTGTTATTTTGGTGAACTTAACATGCCCAGACTGGTATTTTTTTCATTTTCACGAGTTGGATATGTTAAATAATTAGTATAATAGTTTTATATGCATTATAAAAATATATAATATTGTCTTAAGATTGTGTTGGAACAATGTTTGTCATCTATAAAAATATGACGATGTAGAAAATCTATTTTATAAAACACATTATCATTAGCGAAATCGACTAGGACTTAGGACCCAGCCATCAAGACATTATATGGATTTAATGTAGCTTATAAAAAAAAATCCTTAATACACAATTTACTATAAAAAACCTAACGTTAAACAGTATAGAATCTCATCCATCGGGCCTAATAAGTCCAAAGTCTGGACAGCCGTTTAATAATGCATTATGTTAGTATTATCAGAAAAATATGTATTTTTTAGTGCCTAATACTGTTGTGAATAAATTATATCTTGTATAGGGAGGTACTAAATAACCTTTGTTTTTATTTAAGTATTAAAATATTTACATTTGCATAGGATGTTTTGTTTTATTATTAGTATATGAAATTTTAATTTTAAAACTATAAATGCTCAGTAATATACCAATGACCAAGTTTTCGATGTATTGATAATCAATAAAATTAAAAAAGCAATAACGACTATAATATAGTTGTCATTAACCGTATTATTAGAATTTATTTATTTTATTCTATCAAACTGTAAATTATATGTATTGGACTAATCGACTATTTTTTGTTTTGTTTCAGAACTGTTAATTCATGAAGTCCACATCAATCTCAAGCTCAAAAATGCCATAGCCCAAACAGTACATTATTTTATAATTTTTTTTAATTATAATAATTACGTGTATTGACATTGCAAAATAAATCAGTCACTTCCGTCATAACTTGTTTATTATTTATTTGTGCTATTTAATGTTCATAACATCGTTTATAATATTCACTGTTGTTAGTTCGATGAAAACCCAAGTACATAAAAGCGTGTAGTAGTTATATAGATACTTATAATTTTAATATACACTTCTATAAATAGTCACATACATATTTGTGTTGTTTCTCTACAAAACAAATATTGTCTTCTTAACATCAGACTATGACTTACTTTGTTACTTGTCAATCATAATATTGTTTTGGATCATTCATGCAATGGTGGCTTATAATTTATAATACTCATTATTTCAAAATGTACTGAAAATTTTCAATTTTTACAGTTAAAATGTACCAACTAGATTCAATTCGTTACCAGAAACACCCCTCAAAGTTTATGATTGAAAAATGGTTTCTAGTGAAAAAAGTGTCATCAGATATTCAGATATAAAAATAAACTTAAAAACATGCGTATTTATAAAATAGATACAATCTTAGTCTCACTCAGAATCTAAAATTTATAAAGGTCGGTATAGCTTATAAATTGACTAGGCAATAATAACTTATAATTTTTATTTTTTTTCATTTTTATGCAGACTTAAGTGGATATTTTAAATTTTTGTACTTAAATTGTATAAAGTTATTAAATCTCTACTTCATATTATTATACAATATTTATATGATATGAATTATGTATGACTCTTGAAGAAGCTGCCCACAGAAGTAGGCAGGCCACATTTTGTAAAATGTATTTGTTAGGATAATCAAAGTATTGTATTACGATATTTTTATATAATTGTGGCGTTTTATGAGTGTTTTAACTGTCGTATGTGCATTATAAACATAAATCGCTCAATTGGAATTAAAACCAATTTTTTTTTCATTTCACATCGTCATACTTAATTTGTAAAATTATGTAAAATTATTACAAGTATGAAATCGATTTTTTTCGCATATAAATGATTTCCATTGGCTACTCGGGCAGATGGGGTATAAGCCTGCTTGATGATAAAGAAATTATATCTTAAAACAAATATTACAAAACCGATTTTGTGAACATTTTAAACTATTCTAAGACGTATTAGAAATACCTATTTAGATAGTATTACGAGCCACATTCGATTTATACAAAGTGCAATATAAAAACCATCACTGCACATTGTACATCTCTGTCTAATTAGCTTACATAGTGACCGATATCGATTTGCCCATGAACTGAGGTACAAAATATTTTGATAGCAAGATACTACGCCTAAATGGCACTACATTTTTAATTTTATCAAGAACGTAGTTGGGTGGTTATACTGCTAAAAATGGAAGTTTGCTTACCTGATGTCAATTGATTCAATATAATAATTTTATATACATATACATGCATATAAAAATGGATGTTTTTCTGTACTTATGTTGACAAGAGACTCAAAAATTAAAGTGTCGTTATCAATACAGGTTACATCAATAGATTCCTTGAGACTTGGAAGGCTTTTATACCTCATTTTCCAACAATTATATTAAAACCATTATTCAGATTAAAGAAAAAAATTATCACTCATGCATAATATGAATTATTTTTTTGCTCAAGAATAGAGAATGATTTTCGTGTTTCATTAAATAGTTGCGATTTGTTACATATATTATATTACTATTATAATAGTAACAAGTAACATAAACGTTTTTTTAAAAAATATATTTATAAACAAATTAACAAATCTTTTACACGATCAATGGGACAGCGAAAATATTAAATACCTCCCTATATGAATATTATTCCTTTTTTTTTAACTACCTATCAATATTTCCGATTGATAATAAACAAGTATTTATGCAGAGTGTAATGAATAAACTTTAATATAAAATTACAAGAAAATATTTGTTGTATTTTTTTATAAAATATTATCAAATCATCTAACCATCGACAATAAGTAAGTGTTTTTATTAAGACACCGTTCTAGTAATCCGTATACACTATAACAGTAATTCAAAAAAATAATATCTAGACCAATATAATTGTTAAAAAAAAGTTTGTTAAAATATAAGAATATTGATAATTTGACCAGCAAGCACATCAAGTATGTTAACGAATATTAATATCTAAAAATGAACAGTTATATTAACCTTAAAATAAAGCTTATAGCATCAATCTTAATTGAAAAACAAGCCTGCAAAAAACAATAAAATTATTTTTACGATACTATAATTGCATTGTAAAAAACTTAAAATAAAAAAAATTATATTTTTTTCTATATTACATCAGTAAATAACATTACATATATCTAAATATATGTAAATCGCAATACATTTAAAATGTTTAAATTAATTGCTAAATAAAGCTTAATACTCATCGATTTCGATATTAATCAAATATCACTCTATCTACTATTATAGTGATGTAAATAAAAGTATAATCAACAAGTGTTTTCAGAGGTCAATGGCTGACTTTTACTTATCATTTATTAGCTAATGTCTGATATCAAACAACCAAAACCTCAAAGCTGAACTAATTAATATGAAATGTAAAGTCTAAAATTCTAAAATTACTTTACAAATTCCATTAATATGAACCCTCTTTGAATGACTATTTATAATATTATAACAATATACCTTTGATAATACTAAAATATAATATCACATGATATTATCAAGTAGGTATGTTATCACTGGTACCTGTTCCACAAGTATTCATGGCCATACTAACACGATAAAAAGTATTTAAAATAAATTACGTGATTCATGACATCACCAGGTGATTCAAAGTTCATGATTCTGTATTATGGACAATTAATTAGGTAAAGATGAAAAAAAATAAACCAAACAGTTAAGTATATACAACGGAAACGACTGATTTATTTTGCGGTGTCAATACAGATATGAGTTACATATTATTGTACTGTTTGGGATATGGCATTTTTGAGTTTTGCAATGTATTGACTACATGAATTAACAGTTCTGAAACAAAACAAAAAAAAATTAACATAATCATTAATGGAATTTGTACTCAAACATTTCAAATAACTATAATTATGTTTTACAGTGCAATAAAAAAAAAAACACGAAATTGAACCAAAAAATATAACCAGCCAATTAAAATAATAAAAAATAGTACTCATTAATCATTTATTTAATGTAATATTATGATAGTATAATGCTGTATAATATGTTGCTACCTATGAAGGACAACTCGTTTCAATACATTTCTAACAACAACTATTAAATTTTAAAGTGCAACAAATATGTCAATAAATACAAAAATATAAAAAGATGTTTATATATTAAATAGTTAACTACTAACTAGGTATCAACCTATAAAATAACATTACTGTCGAGTATAAACAATTACAAACGTGTTGTTTTATTATACTATGGTAAATCTTCCTAAGAAGAAATATTCGTATTAAATTTTCCCATTATTACGTTAAATTAACATGGAACCATTAATAATAATAATTCATATTATTTATCATTGTTTAATATTTTGTAAATAAAATAATTTAAGTTAAAATAATATTTTAATGATAATTATTGTATGATCACGTAATTCAAATTTAGTTTATTAATTTAACCATTAAAGAAAAGTACTTAATTGTTGTACATAATTGCAATTTAAATTTGTTTGGTATTGGAATTGGATTTTCAAGTAAAAAATGTTTTTAAAGATTTATTTTATTGTTTTATTTCTAAATTAAATCAATTAATTAAAATTAATAATAAACGTAAAGCAACCGAAGCAATTCGTCATATTTCAGAAAAACATGTCATATTTTTATAGTTGGTATACATTGTTGTGGTTATTATTTCAAACATTCTTTGATTTTAAAGTTGAATAAAATCTTAAATCTATTTAACTCACCATCAATTGGCTGGTGGCTGGAGTGGCTTTGGCGACCGATTTGATGGCCTTGGCAGATTGGACTTGTCCGACGACGACGATGTTCATGGATACTTTTTCAGCGCCCATTTTTGGTTTTTGGTTGGTTTTTGAGGGTTAAAGTGAAAACTAAAAAAAAAATGTTGTTAATTTGAAATCGAAATGAAACAATATTGCTGTCGTTTCGTACTTACCAAAGAATATATCTGCACAAAAGGATGTGTTATGCCGGAATCGAGATCTCGGACACCTTTATATACACTGCCACCGACCGATTCAAAGTGGGACGGCTGGGTGGCGTGATCATTGTAATATAACGATAATTGTTTATGTACAAAACATTAAATAAATATCTAATCACGCACTGTAGCATATAGGTCACGGAGCTCGCATAATGTTAAATGGACATTTTAAAATGCTTAATATAGTTCCACTCAAACACACCATACCATAATTATCGACGGGGTTCCCTCCCAAAATAATTAATTAGTTTATAAGTGAAATAAATTATAAAGCACAATTAAAATAACACGATGGGTAAATTTCTATTAATTTTTTTTTACAGATTACTTTGATTTTACTGTTTGGCCATTAGCGCTTATAGTCAGTTTATAGTATTTTATATATTGCTCTTAATTTTGTAAAATACACATTATTGGTTCGTATATAAAGAAGTTTATATGAGCACAGTTTACAGCTAAAATGATACAAATATTTAAGTTTTTGAAAATGTAATCTCTAAATTTGGGCAGGTGGGTTTGAAATTAAAAAATCATAGAACATGGTTGATAAATAAACCTGAATACAAATTACAAAAATGAAATTATACAAAAATATGATTAAATAATAATACACTCTGTGATCATAAGACACGTAAATAATAATGGCAAAAATAAATTATTTTTTTGTATACGGTTTACACATCATAATTACATATTCTCATTGAATTTGATTGGCTAAAAAAAATTTAACTTACTCTAGTGATAATGCCTAGTAAAACAAATGACATTAAATCACAATGTCATCATACAATTTACTAAGTAAGATTATAGACTTCAGACAGTCTTCGTTCAGAATCGTTTTTCGTACAAAGTGATTATTGAATTTAAATTTTGTATTCTCAGCAGAGAGGTGAATATATGGTTCACACAGAGAAGAGTGTGTTTGGGAGAATGAAAGTCATTCGATTTTCTTTGCTCCTTCAACAGCATCTTTTCTAGAACAAAAATACTGTAGAAACCTAAATGATATTTTCGTTCAATGTCTTTATCAGCATTTTCTATACAGCGTACAATTTTCAAAATGTTTTTTACACTCAATGAACAGTGAACCACTACCCACTACTTGCACTATTTAAAAAAATAAAATTTTATTTTTCAACAGTAATAGTATTATAATTGTATTATACTTATAATACGCAAAAATATGAAAACTCTTAACTCATAATACAAAAAGCAATAATTGCTAAATAATTTACTTAAAGATAAGTCTTAGTTGCGATTATTAATTTTATCAGCTACATAATTTAAATAATAATGATCCAATGTCTACAAAAAGTTTTTACGTTCATAGCGTGAATTGATCAAAATTTTATCAGCCAAATATTATTTTTATTAATCTAATCACGCTGAGGATCACACCATACCATGCCATATCACACGATTAATCTTATACGCTTTTAAAAAACGTATATAAACAAACGCTTACCTGCCCAATCGTCATAACACAATTTCGTACAAGTCAATTGTTTGGTAAGCATCTACATCAGACGCCCGATTGTAGTATTGTTTTCGTTAAACAAAGTTTTTAATTTCTAGATTTCAAGTTCAATCCACACAAAAACCAACCAAAATCAAAAATGGGCGCAGAAAAAGTATCCATGAACATCGTCGTCGTCGGACAAGTCCAGTCTGCCAAGGCCATCAAGACCGTCACCAAGGCCACACCAGCCACCAGCCAACTCATGGTGAGTTTGTAGTTTAATACGTCATTTTATACGAATTTCAAATGCAGTTCAATTTTAATAAACAGATAAAATTAATGACTGGGCAAGTTTTCAGGATTTTTATTATAATTTTCATTATTTTATAAATTAAATTAAACAAAAACAATGAAATCTACCTAAAAAAAATCATTTTACATAAGAATATATTGTTGTATCGCGTTATTTTATCAAAAAATTTAACTAATTTTACTTTTAGCCGTTTGCTACAAAACTCATTCACTGAAAATCTTTCACTATTTACTCCTAAACATTAAGTTATTTATTGTATATTTTACGGTAAACTCTTTAATTATTGTTCGTAACATATTATATACTCTATAATATTTGTAATTATATGAAGTAGATATTTTATTTAATTTTTTTCATGATATAACATTAATTATAAACATAGTTCTATGTATTACTTCATACAGTTGCATTTCAAAGCAATTTTTTTTGCATTAAATGTAATACTTTTATTAATTTAGTTTTTGATTTGTTTCAGAACTGTTAAATCATGTAAACCGTCAATCTCAAACACAAAAATGCCATAACCTAAACAAAATATGTATTTCTAACATTATGCTTTGACACAACCAAATAAATAAGTATATTCCGATATTTAAAGTGTTTGATTTATTATTTATAACACCATGCATTACCAGTAGAAATAATTGCATATCAAGAAACTCGGTCAATTTTTAATGTAAACAAAAATAAAACTGATAATTTCAGTATATCTAAGATATCAAACAATATCAATATGCATATAATATATCCTTAACCCACAAATATTATATATTGGATGCGTTTGAAAAAATAACAAATATAATACAAGTCTAGTACACAACGTATAGAAATCAGTAATCTGATCAGATAATTAGTAAGTTGTTTATAATATTATTCTTTCATTTAAAAATATATTTTCTATAAAACTAAATTTGACAATGAAGTCTCGGATCGTATTTAATTGTATCAATGATAAAATACTATAGGACTACTATTTTGAAAAGATCCTGCAATTAAAATCTGTTATTATTATCTCTCTACAAGAGACAAGCAAGTCATATCGAATTATGTCCAAAAGTTCAGTGACAATGAATTTCGATGAAAATAATTAAGTTACCTACATTATAATATTTTATATTTTTATATAAAAATAAGATTTTTTTCAAAAGCAATTAACAAAGAATTTTAATAATACTTATCGTTTTAGAAAACGGGGTAATGTATAGGCAATATAGGTACATAACTGTGTAGAAAATACTGTGTATTTTAACAGTTAGTATTATAACAGTTTTGCGATAAAATCTTCACATTGTTAATATCTTCTGAGTATATTGATTAGCATGATATTATAATAGTGTATAATAATATTGTGCAACGATGCCTGTCAGGAGGATTTGCTGCGACAGTAATTCCAGGCCAATTCTGGATACCAACCCGGCTAGCATTGCAAGCCGTGGCAGTTGAATTTCAGAGTAGTAAGCTAGAACGTTGTTGTTCTCGATAGAGCATTCTTTTTTTAGAATATTTTATAAAACACTATACCAATCGTTAATTGTGGTGTAAATTTTCTTTTCAATTTTAAATATATACAAGTAATAATTATTTTTAATGTCTCTATTTAATTAATTTGTGCACAGACACCCTTCACGGTGTCTTTATCTCATTAGAGATGAATCAAACAATTGTTATTTAAGTACCACCTAAATGGATTTACATGACTTTCGCTGTTTAGATTTTTTGCATGGTGAATGTATAGTTAATTAAATGGTTCAATAAAATAAAAAAGTATCTAACATAGGTCATAACAATCATGTTTAAGGGACCTTCGGCTCACTATTGATTCGTTACATGTTAAGTGATTGTTCGCGCGACCCGGCTTGATTAATACGAAATAAAATTTTATACATCTTAACATATTACGATATTTATTAAACTTATGGTTATTTATCAACTCAAAAAATAGATATCATATTTTAGTTCGTTTTGGTTACACTTTATGCAGACAACACTATACCAAAAAAGAGAAAAGTGCATTTTAAAAAACTTTTAAATATTAAAAGTCAATAATTGTTTTTATCATAATGAAACTGTTCAGATTTATTTTTTTAAATATTATGTCACGACTAATACTTGACATATAAATCATTTTTATTGATATTGTTTGATTGTGTAAACATATTAACTGACGTTCCCATGTTTGAATTATTTGTTGTTTCTAATGTATTAAACCATTTCAATAAGTGCCAAACAAATTCACTCACCCGTTGTCATTGGTATCCACATAAACAATTATTGTTCATAACAACAGTCCAATTCTATAAGACACATCATGACTGAGTGTAACACAAAGGATAAGTAATAAGTTATCTGATTACGTATTCGGAAGCTTCGGACCAAACTTGACATTATCCAACATCATAATATTCTTACAGTAAACCATACTGGCCAATTTAGTTTAAGGAACATAATTATTCTGTAAAAACGTATCACTATCTTTTTCTTAGCATTCAAGTTATAACATTGTAACATTTATTTGAAAAAAAAAATAGTCAAATTAAATAGTTCTATTCGGATACTATACATTTAAAAAATAGATTTCATTCGATTGATATGGATAACGTTTGAACACGAAAAATCTTGAACAATAGACAATTGGACTTAAGTTTGCTTTACTATTGGAAAGTAAAAAAGAATACAAACGAGTATTATGAGCGTACGGCCAATATTAAATACCTTTAATCGGTGTTTTTTGATCTGCGGTATGGGCAGTGTTAATTACAATCAAGAAAAGTTGAAGATGATGTTTTACATATTACGATGCATTTCCATTTGTTGTGGACTCAATTTCGCGTACCTTGAAAATTTTCAATGGGTAAACAGCATTTTAATTGTATCATTATTTATGATTGTTTCATCACACAGAACGGTGTAGATATTACTAAAGTGTATTCAGCATTAAAAAATTAATTTTTAGTGTATACAAATTAAAAAGTTTACTTAGGAAATGTCGAAAAAATTCTAGTTTCTACTTTCGATATTTTTTGGATAAATCGCTTATAAAAATATTGGTCCCCAAGATAACAGATCGTCAACAAGATATAAAATCAAAATGCATATTGCAAAGTATTGAATACAAAAAAGCTACTTTATTTCTAGTATCATGGTTAGTTTTCGCATGTATTTTTAATTTATTCAGCGTGTTGTTCATATTCATATTTTTAAAACCCAGTGTACTTTCATTAAATTTTAGTATTACATATTACCTATCAATTATCATATTATATCGGTTATACCCTATGTAAATTAGACTGGCCATCATATAAATGTAAATTAA